TTGCCGCCGATCAGCGCTGCTACTGGCCAGGCCGACGGTCCGCGGCCGCCCCGCCGCTTGCCAGGGCCTGGCCTGCAGGAAAGAAAGGTATACCTCCGAAAATGCGTACGATCGAAGACGAAGAGGGGGGTATCGAGGGTTTGGGAAATACGCATTAACGGACACTCGGGCAGATGAGATCGAACAGTCTTACAATGATTGTTGTTGATGTTGTTGAATGTTCATTGTTGAAGCATATTTATTGTTGATTCCGCCCGCCCGGTGCACATTTGTTTTTTCAATTGAAGTGCCCCTACTGGGGCTCCACAGCAAATATCAGAGAAAGTCTTGAGGGTCAAACTGTGTCGTTGGCCCCCGGTTTACAACAACATTAACAACAACAACACTAACAACAACATTAATAACAACAGCAACAACAGCAACAACAACAGCGATTCCCGCCTGATACTTCCTCACAATCTATTGGAGAATCGCGCTCTCGCTAGGGGGTCCCGTGCAATTTACAACCGGATCGCGGCTCCTCCTGCCTGATACTTCCTGGCAAATTATTGCAGAATCGGGGTCTCGCTTGGGACTTTCTCGCAACATACCACCGAACCGCTTCGTTGAATATTTCCTCACACCCCCGCCTCCTCCCCCGCCTACCTTCCCTCGTCACTCTTCCGGCAGCTTCGTGCTGATCCATGTCGAATGGTGCCCCGTTCCGGCGCGCGAGTAGTTGTGGATAGCATTGGCAGGTGTTTCGTCGCCCTGGCTTTCGCCGCCGCGGAACATTGTTTCGGCATCATCGCGACCTCGCCTGGAAAGGGTGGCCCCTCCATTTCCCGTTTTCTTCCTCTCCGCTGGCACCTCGCTTCCTCTCTGCCCTTCTGTCCCCCCCCATCTGAGCTGGGTCCCAGCGCAGTCCGCGGGCGTCGGGGGCCCAGCGTGTCAAAAACAGGCCTGAGTCGGCGGGGCCTCCGGGGGTCCGCGTCCTCGTCGTCCTCCTCGCTTTCTCTCTCTCTCTCTCTGTCTCTCTCTCTCTTTCTTTTTGTTTGTTTCTCTCTGTCTCTCTCTCTCTCTCTATCCCACATTCTTTCCCTTTATCATTCTCTCGCGCTCCCCCCCTTCTGTTTTTTTCTTTCGCTTGCTTCCTCTCCCTCCCTCCCGGCTCTCTCCTCCTCTTGTCCCTCCCTCCCCCCCTTATCGTCATTGTCGTCGTCGTCGTCGTCGTCGTCGTCCCCGGCCGCCCCCCCGCTGGGCCCGCCTGCCGCCGGGGGCCCGGCGCGCTGGCTTTTCAGCCAGCCAGGCCGACAGTCCGTGCGATTGCCTCGCTGCCTGCCGGGAGCCAGCCCGTCGGCCTCTCAGCCCGCGCCCTGCTCCCTTTTCCCTCTCTGCCTCCTCTTCCTCCTCCTCGCCCTCCTCTTCCGAGTCTCCCTCTTCCTCCTCCTCGCCTTCCTCATCCTCGTCCCCCCCCCCCTCCCCAACGTCGTCGTCGTTGTCGTCGTCGTCGGCGTCGGCGTCGGCGTCGGCGTCGGCGTCGTCGTTGGCCTGTGCGGATGCTGTGCTTTGCCGCGCGGGGCATGTGCTACGTACAAGAAAGCCAGGGCAGGTCGGGCTGGGGGCGGTCGGGGCAGGGGTGGCCCCGAGTCATCCTCGCAACGCAGGGTTCCGATATGCCCTAAGCTTTGGTGTTCGGGCCACTTTCGCTTGAGACGTCTTCGCAACTCTGGCCTCGGAGATGCCCTGCATCGCGTTTGTCTGGTCACTTCCGCATGAAACGTCTTCGCAACTCAGGCGCCCAATATGCCCTGAGCTGAGAAACTGAGGGCGCTCTCTTGAGACATCCTCGCAACTCTGAACTCGGAGATGCCCCGGCCCGTGGTGGTCCGGCCAGTTTAGCTTGTGACATATTCAACTCTGGGTTCCGATACGCCTTCAGCTGAGGTGGTCAGGCCACTTTCGCCGGACGCGTCCACGCAACTCTGACCTCGGAGATTCCTTGCCCCATGGTGGTCCGGCCCCTTTCGCTTGAGACGCCCTCGCCACTCAGGCTTCCGATATGCCCTGAGTTGAGACGGTCGGGCAGTGGTCGCCTGACGCCTGACACGTCCTTGCAATTCTGAGCTCGGAGATGCCCTGCCCCATGGCCCATGGTGGTCGGGCCACCCTCGCTTGAAACATCGTCGCAACTCTCGGATCCGATATGCCATGTGTTGAGGTGGCCAGGTCTCGCCTGCGACATCCTCGCGTGATACATGATCCAGACGCTGACCACATCCATGTGTTGGATTGGTGCTGTCGCCTGTCACATCCCTTATTTGGTTATGGCGTTTTTCGCTCGAGCGCCAACCTCTCCTCCTGGCTTTTCCCCCCCATTTACCCTTCCCTGCCTCTTCGATTCTTTGACTACGCGGCATGTGCGGGCATGTGCGTTTATACTGTCGGAATTGTTCAAGACTGCGTCCGAGTGTGCATCGAACTGCGCGGCAGGTGCGCGCAGGTGCGGCAATGCTATTGA